AATCCTGCGCCTTCAATTGACTTGAGATGATATCACATACAATATATAGTCACATGGCTCTGTCAGTGGCTGACGACGTCTATTAAGCCAGAAATGACCATTCCAGTCTCTCTTATCTTTGCCGGCAATATTATCTGTTTAATAATAGTCAATGTTGTGTCAGTGTTTTTAACTGCAGTCCTCTGGACAAAAACTACTTCTGCTTCCGCCAATTAATTGTTCTACTTATCGATCTATAAGACCAAACTATCACCCAGGTGTATGCACATGTGCGGTGACTGGACAACCTGATGAGATAGGATGACTAAAGTCAAAACGTCTAGCACTATGTAGCTCAGTTGTTTTAGGTTTACTCATTTGTTTAACGCGCTGCTGAGTTTATTTCAGGTTTAGGTTAGTAAGGAAAAAGAGTAGATTTTTTCGTACAGCTTCCAGTTGTACCTGTGGTTTTTTCCGTGGGAGGCATTTATGCAGGGTCAAAAAATTTGCCAAAATAACATTTGAAATCTGAGAACTTAACTTTCCATCCATATAAATATAGTGGCATGGGGGTTGAATAAGAACGTTATTTTCAGAAAGATTAATATCCTTCAAAAGTCCTCATTTGTGTATATCTGCGCATTTTGTACCCCGAAACGCGCTAATACCGTCCACAAGCAACCTTTGTTTTACAGTACGCGCTAGAGAGGTAACTCCCAATAGGCCAATCATGACATAACTTACTTCACTCCTACATATATGTTACTGTGTTTTTCTACGCTTTATACTTGGACAATTTGTAATTAACGAACGGAGAGGGTACCGCACCAGTTGTTTCATTAATATTTTAGTATTTATAAAGCAACTCTACATAGTATCCAAATTATTGAACTTGGGCCTAGATTTATTGAAAAAGAACGAGAAGTGGTTTCCTAATTTTTGCCATCAGTATTGCTAGTATCCGTCAGAAGAGTGCACAAATGAGCATAATGTGTTTATGTTCTTCCTGATTTTGGCCGAAGATGATGCGGTGGTCATTCCTCCGTCAAATATCCCAAGAGCGCACTTTTAATGAAAAGAAACAAATGGTGGGAACATAGCGTAATATAGATAGAAGTCGAGATAGGCGAACGAACGTTTTCCATTAATTCATCATCAGGCGTGTACAATAATATAAAGGGGGTAGAGTTAGCAAAAGTATTAAGCAATCAATCATCGGTATTTGAGGGGGGAGGGGGAATGTTTAAGAGACCAAAGGGGAACGGGGGGGGAGAGAGGGAACGTTTCTCATAATTAGTTCATGTCAACTGGTCGCGGCATTTTGACACCAGTTGTTA